ACAACAACAACAACAACAACAACAACATCATCATCATCATCATCATCATCATCATCAACAACAACAACAACAACATCAACAACAACAACAACAAGAAGAAGAAGAAGAAGAAGAACAAGAACAAGAACGAACAAGAAAAAGTAGAAGAAGCATTAGTAGTAGAAGAAGAAGGGTCTGGGCAGCACTTGCGCTTCAGTATCGATGGTGTCGCACACAAAACACTTCACATGCCAGAAAAAGGCGTCCTCGCACGTATGATTCATGCCAATGAGTCAGTAATGCAAACAGGCCTACAGCCATATGCCCCTCGACCAATGTCGGTCACGGGAGCGAGCTCCTCGGGATATGCACTGTCAGAAATCTGCTGTAACAATCATGCCAGCTGTGCAGATCTTTCCGCTGCAGTTGCAGCCACAGCAAAGGCCACAACAGCAGCAATGGCGAGGGTCCCTTCTCCTCCTATTGTCGCTGCTCCTGCCTCCCCTGAACTCGCTCCTGTCTCTACGCCTGCTCTCCCTCCTACTTTAGCACGCATTAGCAGTGGGGCCGCGTGTAGAGCTGCAGAGACTGCCACCGTCATCAGTGCGGCCGGCCACACTGCTGGCTTGCCTGGCAGTGGATCGCACGCAGAATTGGGGCGGAGCAGTGGCGTGTGGCGTTCCGCCACGACGCCTTCCGCCTTCGACGCGCGAAGCTCGCAGCTAACATCCACCACCTGATGCTGGCAAGAAGGAAAGAAAGTCTTAAAGTCTATGTAAACCAGGATGAGAGGATGCTTAAGCATAGTAGCCTGATCTTGCACAAAGTTACCAGCCAACCCCGGCCAGCGAGCGTCCGTCCCTAATCCGAAACCATATTGTGCCTTGCAAGCTCTGGCCTCAACTAGATCATACCCCGGTTTTAACACTGCCGCTTCGAAACCCTTAAGGTGTTGCGAAAGCAGCGCAATTTCCCTTTTCTTGCTGACGAGCCCAGAGACCACCTTCTTATCAAGAAGAACAAAAACAACCCGAAGCCAACCTATGGGACAGCGGTTCCCCGCCGCGATTTTACGCATGACGTGATGCAGTAACTCCCTGGCCCAGTCCGGGGCCAATTCCCACAGCTCGCCTTGAGCGCCGTCGAGACCTAAGGCCTTACCCCTTCGGCGCCAACATTGTTGCAATCTGAGAGCACAATACTGTTGGCAAGCAAGCCATGGAAGGCCGTCCCAAGTAAGCACTTCCGGAAAATGGAACAAAAGTGTGCCCCCACCCGCGCACCGCAGCCATGCTTACCGGGTGTACCATGCCCAAAGCAGTGGAACGTAAAATATCACCTCCCTCTTGTCTCACCCTTCCCGGCGGATGATCAATGACCTTCCCATCCTCCCGGTCCCCCTCCCTAAAGCTAGACCATTACGGCTCGGTCCTGTACCAAGCCAGACTGGCGGAGTGCATGTACTCTCTTAATTACAATCACCCCGCAAGCCAGCATGCAGACGGTACACAGCCTGCACCGGGGTGCATAGCTCGGTGCACGCCGAAGGCGTGCACCGGGTACCGGGGTGCACGCCGAAGGCGTGCACCGGAGGTGCACCGGCACCGGGGTGCACGCCGATGCACCGGAGGTGCACCGGGACCGGGGTGCACGCCGAAGGCGTGCACCGGAGGTGCACCGGGACCGGGGTGCACGCCGAAGGCGTGGTGCAGCCAAAGCCGTGGAAAGAGACGACGGAAAATCGTCCCCCATTGGAGCCCCCTCGTGACCGGAGGTGTTCCCAACGTCGTTCGATGATTGCATAGATCCTGAGTGTGCGCGTGCTGAAAAGAGCCCGAGCAATGGCGGAGATAATAAAAACGTATTCGGCCACCTACCGAACGTACGTTTTTTGGCCAGCTTGCCTTCCATCTTGCACTGCCTTAATGTCACACCGGTTCGAGCGTCCGTCCACCGTCTCAGGTTGGGTCAGCAGTACCAACGTGCAATAGCTCACATTTGGCCGGGCATTCCTTCTTCCATCATCGGGTCGCGCCACAAATATGTGTATCACTTTGTGAAGGGTTCTGAAATTTCTTCGCGCCGTTGAAAGCGCTCGTTTTCTCGATATCGCTGCTGCGCATGCATGTACTGCTTTTGCCTCGGGAGCTGCTGATCCACGTCCTGCGGTGCGCTGCGATGGACGAAGACGACTTCCGTACCACGGTCACCGTGCGTGGATCCGTCTGCAAGGACCTTTTCGCTGCGTCCGAGGCCTGGATGATAGCTCACGATGCTGGAGCCGCAATGCCGAGCATCGCTGGAGAGAAGCTCAAGGAACGGCGATATGTGCGCGCGGTGCGACTGATTCGGCAAAACCAGTTGCATACGGAGCCCGTCCTTCTAAGCGTCCTCTCGACGCAGGAAGAACTCGACACCGCGATGCATCTTCAACGACTCGAATGCGCTGCTTTCGATGAGCTCTCGTCGGCCCTCTTTTGCACGGCATGGCCTATTGTGCAGGACAGGTACAGATTTCGCTTTCATGGCCATGGATACGATCTGACGTGGCGCTGCCCTGAGCAGCCGCATGACGCGTCGCCATTCCGAGTGCACCTGCGTCGCGCGGCGCTTTCAGCAGCTGTGAACGCGATTGAAGCTGATGCGGTGCACCTGCTGAAGGCGGCGCTCATGTCGGCCGTGCATCGCGGTACGCAAGCCGAGTCACATGAGCGTGCGAATGAGGGGCCCGATTCAGTGGTCGTTGGCTCGAATGACGTGCGATTCGCCGCGTCGCTGCTCGGACGACAATACTCACAGGCTCTCACAAGTTATTCCTTCGACGACGATGGCGGCATGCGCGCGCGTAGTAGTAACTACGCGCGCGGAGGGAATGCTGCTGGGGCCGGTCTGCCCCACTACGATAGCGGCATGCTTACCTTGTCTTCGACATGGACACTCTGCTGCCGGCAATGGCCGCAATGCTGCCAGCCGCGACCATTGATCTCCTCGTCGCGCGCCTCGCCAAGCGCGCGGGCATCTGCCGCCACACCGTGCGGATGGTCGACGAGGTGTGGCGGCTCATGATTGACCGCTACGCGTCCGTGCTCGTCCGCGTGGGCTACGAGCTGCATCACATCGCGATGTGTGAGACCGGCGGCGATATCGACGAGCCTGTCGAGTACGAGGAGGAGGGCGAGACGGCCTTGCGCAAGGTGCCGGGCAGCGAGGACGACGACTATGACGAGGACGAGGACGACGAGGAGGAGACGGACGCGGACGGTGAACTTGACGACGAGGAGAGCGACGTCGAGGGTGGCGATGACGCGGACGCGCGCTGGGACGAGGTCCACCGTGAGTGGGTGCTACTGCCCAGCTCGAAGATGATCGGCAAGCTCTACGGGCTCAATCTGCACGGTGTGTAGGCGGGTACGATCCGGCGTCATTCGCGGGCAAACATGGCGGGGGCGGGTATATAGCGGCACCACACTGCGTCCTTTCCGTAAGATATCGCTCTCGGTGCGGTGGCGCGGCGGCGTCCTCCCATCCCTTCCCCTTAGGTTGTCTGTTTTCTTCCTTTCTTGTGGACACTCTCTTTTAGACATGACTCATGAGCTCTTAGATCAGGGGCCCTGCGATTGACAGGGCCGCGACGCGCTGCCGCCAATCCGCATTGAAGTAAGCGTCCGCCGGGGCGCCGCTCGGTCCGATGGCTCGGGGCGGGCAGCGCTGCGCAACGACAGGGATCCGCGGTCTGCCAGGGTGTCCGGCCCAGGTCACCGCGGACTCGCAATAGCCGTGCGCCGCTAGGGCCGCCACGAGAGCGTCGGCGTCGGCTGCAGGGTACGCCCTCTCACTGGGCGGCGCCGTGACGCAGGCTATGCAGACGAAAGAGATCCAAGTGCAACTTAGGCGCCGACGGATCGGCCGCGTGCCGCCGCTCGTTCGGAAGTGTTACACCAAAAAAAGAATCAGAGTGCGGATAAACCAGCTGAAGTCCGACCGACGGGCGATGGCAGGAGCTTTCTCATCGATCAACTGCGCCGCATCCAGGGAAGGGACGCCGAAATTTGACAGGTGCATGTCCAGGGAAGGGACGTGTACGTGTACGTGTCGTGTAAATAATAAATTGATGATGGTAAGAGCTCAAGCCTGTTCATGATTACAATAGTATTCAAGTATTGTACTCATAGTACACTGAAAAAGAAAGCGCCGAGCGCGGGAGAGCACTCAGTATGCCCCGCTTTCGGAAGACGAGTATGCCCCGCCGACGCGCCTCCGCGCCGCGCCCAGTGAGCCCGCCGCCCGTTCCAGAGAACGTGGTGTCGGCGGCGCACGAAGGCTTGCTGTGTCCAATTCGGACGTGGGTCGGCGGCGGCGGCAAGGCCGACGCGACCTTCGAGACAAGCGGAGCTAGCAGACGGACGCTGCTGATGCTTGCGGCCGCCAACGGCCACGAGAGTGTGGCCGACTTGCTTCTTAAGTGGGGCGCGCAGGTCGACCTGCAAGACAGCAACGGCACCACCGCGCTGCTGGAAGCCGCCCAGAGGGGCCACGTGCAGGTGATGGACTTGCTGCTCAAGCGCGGCGCAGAAGTCGGCCTAGCAAACAACGACGGCGTGACCGCGCTGCAGGCTGCCGTTCTCCACGGAAAGACCGAGGCCCGGCTCCGCCTGATGTCTGCACGCGCCGACGAGGAGAACGCCTGGGTGCAGGCTTGGCTCGACCACGGAACCGGGCGCGGCTCAATGCGCGGGCGGTGGGCCCACGTGCCGCGGTGTGGCGCGGCCGAAAAGGCGGAGCTCGCACGGCGGGAGGAGGCCGCCGACGCCGCAGCCGTCGCGCTGCTCGCCGAAGAGGCGGCACAGGCGGCCGCCGCAGAGATGAAGGCGGCGACAACGAAGGCGCGCAACAGCGGCAGACGGCAGCGCTTGAAGGACAAAAAGAAGGAGAAGGAGAAGGAGAAGGAGAAGGAGAAGGAGAAGGAGAAGGAGGACGCGTCGGCTCGGATCTCCATCAAGGGGCTTGTCGGCAGGTTCGGCCTAAGGGTCGACCTCAACGAGCCGGTCGTCGCGCTCAAGCGACTGATTGCTCAGCGCGAGGGCGTGCGCGTCAAGGGCCAGCGCCTCATCTTCTTTGGGACGCCGCTCGAGAACGGCCGCACCCTCTCCGACTACAATATCGTCGCGACCGACTCGGTGGACCTGCTTCTGCGCAACCTAGGGGGGGCGGGGCCCAGTCTGACCTTGACCCGCCTACCCTGACCCGCCTCCCACCTACCGCCTCCTGTGACACAATAGGCGAAGCGTAAGCGCCCCCAAGGCTCTGCGGAAGCGCCGACCCCGCCGGCCCCTCCGCCGGCCGCCCCTCCGCCGGCCGCCCCTCCGGCGGCCGCCCCTCCGCCGGCCGAGGCCAAGGACCCGGAGCTGGGGGAGGCCGTGGAGGAGGTTGCGGCAACGCCCCTCCGCGTGCCGAGCTGCAAGACACTCGGCTGCAGCCTCTGCCTGGGGCACGCAGGGCCCTGTAGCAACGCAGTCACAGGTACGCGGGTGCGGGTTCTCACCGACAAGGCGCGGGAGGCGTCGCCGGCGGCGCAAGCGGAGAGGAAGGAGGCGGCGAAGGCGAAGAGGAAGCAGGCAGCAGAGAAGGTAGAGAGATCTAGCCGAGACCCAGACGAGATCTAGCCGAGATTCAGCCGAGATCTGGCCCCTTCTCCGCTCAGGTGGAGGCGGCCAAGGCCGCCCAGGCGGAGGCCGCCCAGGCGAAGAGGGGGATGCGTCCCTCGCCGGCCGCCTTTCCGCCGGCCGCCCCTCCGCCGGCCGCCCCTCCGCCTCCCCCTGTCTGGAAGCCCGAGCCGGCCGGCGGGGCGGACTCACTATCGGCTGGCCGCTCGCCACACGGCCGGCCGAGCGCCACGGCGGTCGAGATGGAGCTCGGCGGCCGGCGGCGCAAGGAGGTGGTGCGGAAGGAGTGGCTGGCTTCCGAGGATCAGATTATCCGCGACGGAGTGCAGCGCCTCGGCTGCCGCTGGCGGCGCATAGCGGAGCGGCTGCCGGGCCGGTCGGACGACGCGGTGCGGAACCGGTGGAACCTGCTGAAGGAGATGGAGCGCAAGGGCCCCGACGCGTGCGACGCGGCGCCCGACGAGCACAGCGAGTCGAGCGGCGGCGCTGCGCGGCCGGCCGCCGCCTCGACCTCCTGCGACGGGCAGCGCGAGGAGGAGGGGGCGGGCAAGACCGAGCGCGTGAGCTGGACGACGGAGGAGGACGCGATCGTCGTCAACTCGGTCAAGGGGCTTTCTCTCTCTCTCTCTCTCTCTCTCTCTCTCTCTCTCTCTCTCTCTCTCTCTCTCTCTCTCCCTCTCTCTCCCTCTCTCCCTCTCTCCCCCCCCCCCCCTTCCCTCCCTTCTCCCTCTCTCTCCCCCCCCCCTCCTGCCCTGCCGCCCACCTGCCCTGCTCTCTGCTCTCTTCCCCCTCTCCTCCCGCGGGGCCGCTGCCGGTTCGCTCCTCAACCGCGGCGCTACTCCGCAGGCGCACGGGCACAAGTGGAGCCAGATCTCTCAGTCGTTGCCGGGCCGGACTGACCACGCCATCCGCAACCGGTGGCAGCGGCTGCTCAAGCTCGAGAACCAGGCGCGAAATGGCAACGCGGCGGAGGAGGTCGAGATCGAGCCGAGATCGAGCCGAGATATAGCGGAGACGTAGCCGAGACGTAGCCACGCCTCCGCCTCAGGCGGGGGCGGCGATGGCGGCGATGGCGGCGATGGCGGCGAAGAAGGCGAAGAAGGCGGCGGCGGAGGAGGTCGAGATCGAGCCGAGATCGAGCCGAGATCGAGCCGAGATCTAGCCGAGACTCCTCTCAGGTGCGTCAGGGCAGCTGCTCACCCCTTGCGTCGTCGGCCGCCACTCCTCCCCTCACAGGCAAGGCTGGTGGAGCTGCGACAGAGGGAGGAGCGGCGTGTCAAGAAGGAGGAGCGCCGGATGGAGCGCCGGATGGCAGCCATCTCCGGCACCGGCCAGTCAAGTCTTGCCGCGGCGCTGCACGTCTACCACAAGTACGGCCAGTCGCGGTTCGTGTTTAAACTCACTCGCACGGCCACCGCCTGCACCCGTTCGGACCACCCGCTCAACCCCGTGCACATCACCTGCCGCACTCTACCCGCCGCGATCGCCGCCCGCAATGTCTACCTCGGTGGCGGCTCCAAGGACGAGGCGGACGCGGCTGCGCGGCGACGCGACGAGGAGACCGCCTTCAAGGGGCATGCCGTCTTCGTGGAGCTCGCCGGCGACGCGGGCAACCCGGTGGCGGCGGCAAAGGCGGCGCGCGTCATCGACGTGGCGGACGCGCACCGCGCTCTCGAGGCTACGATGCGCGGCCTCTACAGCGCCGAGGGCGGCGACCCGCGCGTCGTGCAGGCCTTGGCGCGGCTCGAAAACCGGCTCGAGGTGACGCGCGAGCTGGTGCGTGCGAGCGACGTGCGGCGAGGTGAGAGTGGCTACTGATTGTCACTCTCCGCACGACACAGGTGGTCAAGATGGTCGCGTACTCCGACGAGTGCCTGCGGCGGCTGCACTTGAAGATCGAGCATGGAAAGCTGCGCAAGTGCTGGGGCTGGGCCTTGCGGGCCATGCTCAGGAAGGCGGCGCAGGGAGGCACGCTCGCGGAGGCGCTCGCGGTGGGCGAGAAGACGGCCGAGGAATACAAGCTGTACTGCATTGAGTCGACGCGGCAGCTGCTGGAGCGTGCGAGCAAGGCACCGTCGTCGCGACTTTGCTCGCGGCGCCTTGTCCTTGGCATCGCCAGCCTTATCTGTATTAGGTGCAACTCGAGGAGGGCGAGGAGGAGGAGGGCGAGGAGGGCGAGGAGGAGGGCGAGGAGGGCGAGGAGGAGGGCGAGGAGGGCGAGGAGGAGGGCGAGGAGGGCGAGGAGGAGGGCGAGGAGGGCGAGGAGGAGGGCGAGGAGGGCGAGGAGGAGGGCGAGGAGGGCGAGGAGGGCGAGGAGGAGGGCGAGGAGGAGGGCGAGGAGGAGGGCGAGGAGGGCGAGGAGGGCGAGGAGGGCGAGGAGGAGGAGGAGGTGCGGGACGAGTCTGCGGAAGGTCCGATGCCGCTCTCCCACTATCACAGCCTGTGTAAGACGCGTTTCGGCAAGAGTAGGCTACGCGCGTGGAGCGCGTGCTCAAGGCGAGCAAGCTGGTCCTCGCCTCGCTGCGGGCCCGCCTGCTAGGCGAGGTCGTTACGACCGAAGGCACACATGAGTGTATGTACCTCGAGTGGGTCCGGGTCATCCTCGCCGGTCACGACTTTCCACCCGACTTGCTCTTCCTCCGTGCAGTCCGCAGCTGCGCGTACGCTTGCCTTTCTTTCGAGGAGGCCAGCGTGCTTCTCTGCACGCGCCGGCTGGCAATGTGGGTGCGCTTGCGCCAGTTGCAGTGCGGAGGGCCGGGCCGGGAGGCGGTGGCGGCGTTCGCCGCCTTCGGCGCGCAGCCGGCGTCGCTCCAGGACGTCGTGCGCTACGCCCACGGCCTCCATCCGCAGGAAACCTTCGACGTGGTGCTGCGCATTGGCGCTGGCCTCAAGGCGGCGGAGAAGCACGACCTTCTGCGGCGGCTGTACATCAGCGCCGCTGAGGCGCCCGACGTTGTGTCGGGGTGGCACCCGCAGGGGGCCTGACACTAAGAGGCCTGTGTTTAATAGTCTGTTTGCAGCCGAATACGTCAGTGCGTCCCCATCGAGAGAGACTCTGTCTCCCTTTTCTTGATACTCGTTTATTCACGAGGCGACCCCAGGGAACCGTGGGCTCTGGTTTCCTGCTGTGAACAAGCAGTTGGATCCGGGGTGTTTTTGTAGCGCCAGCAGCCGCCGTTGGCGAGAAAAGATAAAAAAAACCAAGAGAGTAGTGGGAAGGCGGGAGAATCCAAAAAAGCCGCGCAAAAAGCCACAAAACCCAGCGAGCCTACCGTTACGCGATTGCTCGCGATGATGCGTGGCCAGCGCGGCGTCTGTTTGGCTCGGCGCGGCCGCAGCACCTTTGCCGGCTAGCGAGCCATTGGCACGCTGCCCACAGCATGTCGAGTCCCTCGTGCAGCGTGAGCACATGCACCGCCGCCATCCTCGCCGCCATTGCGAGTAGCGCCACCGAGAGTGCTTCTTGAGGATGGCGTCGTACGTCGCCTCGGTGCCGTGGTCGGTGCACCACAGCTTGGAGGTGAGAAAGATCTCCTCGCGCGGCACGCCTGACTCGGCGATGGCCGCGGCGACGACGGCCTCGTTCTCGTAGCCGGCAGCGGTGTCGATGTGGCGGTAGCCCTGCTGCAGCGCGCAGACCAGCGCCCGGCGCAGCGGCTCCCCCTCGAGCCGGTAGGTGCCGTAGCCGAGCGCGGGCATGCTGGCTCCGGTGTTGAGCGCCACGCTGCGCTCCTCCCAGCCAGGCTTGGGCATGCCCGCGTCGTCCCGACCCCCGAACCCGCCCTCCTCGCCCGCCCCTCCCGCGCCCTCCGCGTCGTCCGGCCCTGGATGTGAGGTTGATGAGATGATGACTGCACTCCAAGTGCTCCAAGGTCGGAGACCCGTGTTATGGCCCTGCGACCGCGCACCCCCCAGGGCTAGGGCTCTCAGCCCGTAACCCGATGCCGAGCGTCTGGCCAACTGGGTGCGCTTGGCTCCCCGGTGATTAATACCCGCCCCAGCCCTTGCCCGAATCCAGCCGTTTGGAGCGAGTTCGAGGCCTGGCATGGCGTCCGCCTGCAAGCGCGCCCGCACCGGCGGCGGCGGCGACGAGGGGCCCGTGCCGGTCGCGGATGGCTTCGAGGCGCCCATCTTTGGCGCGCGCTTCGTTGGACAGGTCACCACGCCGACGCTCGAGGGCGAGGACGGCCCTCTGGCATCGCTCGGGTCGGCTGGCGTCGCAAGCGACCACGCGGGCGCCTGGTACGTCTCGACCAAGGACTCGCTGCTGCACGTCTCGGCCGGGCGCGTGCGCCGCGTGGCAGCCTTGCCGGAAGGTGAAGTCTTCAACAGAAATGCCGCCAGCCCAGACGGGAGCGCGGTGTTTGTGGCAGACTACAGCAGCCACGACATCCGGCGTGTGGAGGTGGCGACGGGCGAGGTGACCACGCTTGTAGACAGCCTCGACGCCGATGAAGCAGCGCAGTTCGACGGTCCAGCCGCCATCGCCATCAGCCCAGACGGCAGCGCGCTGTTTGTGGCGGACTCCGCCAACAACAAGATCCGGCGGGTGGAGGTGGCGACGGGCGCGGTGACCACGATCGCGGGCAGCGGCGAGGATGGCAGTACAGACGGCGTTGGCGGCGCGGCGCAGTTCTGCATCCCATGCGGCCTCGCAATCAGCCCGGACGGCGGCGCGCTTTTTGTGGCGGACAGCAGCAACGACAAGATCCGGCGGGTGGAGGTGGCGACTGGCGCGGTGACGACTGTCGCGGGCAGTGGCATGATGGGCAGCGCCGATGGGGTGGGCGACGCGGCTCGGTTCGATTTCCCGATTGGCATCGCCATCAGCCAAGACGGCAGCGCGCTGTTTGTGGCGGACTATGAGAACCACAAGATCCGGCGGGTGGAGGTGGCGACGGGCGCGGTGAAGACGATCGCGGGCAGCGGCACGGACGGCAGCGCTGACGGCGTGGGCGACGCGGCAGAGTTCGACGGCCCAGTCGAAGTCGCCATCAGCGCCGACGGCAGCACGCTGTTGGTTGGTTCGGAAGGCGGCCTCCGCCTGGTATGCGTGGCGGCGCCTCCTCCGCCTCCCTCCTTTGCCCCGATCGTCGTTCCGCCCTCCACCTTTTCGGCCGACATGAAGAAGACGCGCGGCGACGCCTCCCTCCCAGAGGGGAAAGTCACCTTCCTGGTCGGCGACGACGAGGAGCGCATCGAGCACGTGAGCAAGTGCGTCCTCTGCGTGCGGTCCGTGTTCTTTCGGACCATGTTTGGCATCGGCATGAAGGAGCGCGACGCCGCCGAGGTCACGGTGCTCGAAACGGACCTCGCCACCTTCACCGCCCTCATCGACTACCTCTGCACCGACCAGCTCGACCTCGGCGAGGGGGAGGGCGAGCAGGCGCGGCGCGCGCTCGTGCTGCGGCAGCTGGCGCAAAAGTACCAGGTGCCGCGCCTCGAGCTGCTCTGCGCGCAGGCGCTGCAGGAGAGCGTCGCGCCGGCGACCGCCGTGCCGCTGCTTGAGGCGGCGCACACGACGGGCGACGGGCGGCTCCTCGCGCAGTGCCGCCGATTCGTGGCCGACCACGCCGCCGAGGTGCGCGCGAGCGGCGGCGTGGAGCAGCTGCGTGACCTTGGCGTGGCCAAGGGGCTGCTCGGCGACGCGCTCGACCAGGTGGCGGAGCTCAAGGGCGCGATGCGTGCGCTCCGCGTCGCGAAGGACTAACGGCAGAGGGCCCGCGTTCCGAAGCGTTGTCGACGGTCCGAGCTCGACGGATCGCGCGCTTGCGTCTCATTGCGAGGTTCTTTGTTCTCTCCCCCGTGGAGCAGAATCAGGATTCCACATACGATATAGCCTGACCAAGACGGATATCCTGTCCGGCAGTACCAAGCCGAATCTAGTACGTGCTACGAGACCCCTAAGGCTACCCTATAACGTAGGCTCAGATCACTCCTTTCGTCTTTCCAGTAGCTAACGCGCCCCCCCTACGAGCTTCCACCATCCCCGGCCGGGCGACCGCTCTGCCTCTGGCGGCTTCCGCCGCGCGATGCCGGCGAGCCGCGGCAGCCGCGGCGAGCTCAGCAGCCCCTCGAGCAGCGCCCCGACCGCCCCCACGTCTGCGGGCAAGTGAAAAAGGGTCGAGCAGCCTTCCGTCGGCGTCGAGCGCCTGCACCTCGCGCGCCGAGGCTAGTTCCAATTCACTCTGACACGCTAATAGCGAATCGCTAATCTTGAAAACGCGTCGCAACGGAGCTCCGTGTTGCTCCCAGCGGAATCCCCCGCGCTTCCTGCGGCCATGGCCGATGATACTAGTATGAGAGGTCATCTGGCTACCGCGAGCGCGACTCAACTCGCCGACGTCGTCCGATGATTGTGCCTCAAAGTCAGCCTCCGGAGGGGCTATCGTGGGGTCGAGCCGGCGGTAGCCGTGACATGTGGTTCCACCACCCCTCGCAGGCTTTGCCTCTGACCGCCACCGTTCCCAGGCTGCCTAATGGGATGGAAAGGAAGGCTGGGCGAGCGTATAGAAGCGTGCTCGACCTCGTCGTGGCAACCTGCACGGCAGCGCTGGCAGGCGCGATGAGCGTCGTGCCACCTGACCCGAGACGGGTCGCAGGCGTCGTACCGAGCGCGTCAAGTCCGTGTACTGATGTGATCTGTACGGGCGAGTCACGTCGGCGTCAAAGGAGCGACGTGCGACCTGTCAGAGCTTGATCTCCGATCTCAGCGGCGTCGAGTCGTCTCCGGCAGCGACGATTTGGTACATCTCCACAGGACGCGCAGAGGCAGCTGCGATCCCGCCGAGTGGACGGCGGCACACAGCAGGTGGCGGTGGTGAGGGTGGAGATGAGGTGGAGGTGGAGGCGGCGGCGAAAGAGGCGGTGGAGAGAGCGGCGGCGGGGGAAGACGGTGGCGGGGCTGGCGGTGGCGGGGACGGCGGCGGTGGGGCGGCGGTGCGGATCAT